AGCTACTCGGGAGGCTGAGGCAGGAAATCGCTTGAACCGGGAGGCGAGGTTGAGGTGACCCAAGATCACGCCATTGCACCTCCAACCTGGGCAAAAGAGACAAAACTCGTCTCAAAAAAAAAAAAAAATTGCCAGGCATGGTGGTGGTACACCTGTATCCCAGCTATTTGGGAGGCTGCAGGCGCAAGATCATTGGTTGAGCTCAGAAGTTTGAGGCTACAGTGGCTTTGATCGAACCTGTGACTAGCTACGCACTCCAGCTCAACAAGGCAACATAGCGAGACCCTATCTATAAAAAATAAATAAATAACCAGTAACTTTATCAGCTCTACTATTAACAAAATGGATCTTCTACATATCATGATATCTGCTAACACTTACATTGATGACAATAATAATAGCTAACTTACATTTACTGAGCACTTCCTAAATGCCAGACATTGCAAAGTGCTCTTTATTATTGCATTTAATCCCCAAACAATCCTGTCATTATCTTATTATTACAATATGATATTATTACCACATTATTACAAATGAGGACGTTAAAACTGTGAGAATTTTCCAAAAGTCATACAGGCATCTGAATACTAGTTAATAATTTTTAAGCACTTACTATATCTGTGACACCATTCTAAGCACTAAGTGTAGAGACTTATTTAATCTTCAAAACAACGAGTTAAATGAGTTACAAATGAGGTAAATGAGTTAAAGAGGCACAGAGAGGTTGAGCAAACTTGTCCAAGGTCACCCCCTCCTCCCTGTAAGTAACCTTGCTAGGCTACAAACCCAGCCCGTTTGCCTCCAGACTCTTAATCACTGAGCTACACATGGCTCAGGGGTCACTGCAGAAATACGAACCAAGACGGCCTGACTCTAAGAACCAAATTGGTCATTATTCCGCTCTTTCGCCGGGCAATTAAGCCAACTGACATTTAGAGGAGGAGGATATGGATGTTATTCTCATTCTGCATGTGGAGAGGAAGGGAACAAGGTGAAGGAAGTGAACAAACGGCAAGTTCAAATACTACTTTTTTTTTTTTTTAATTAAGACAGGGTCTGGCTCCATCGCCCGGGCTGAAGTGCTGGTGCAATCATGACTCTCTGCAGCCTCAACCTCCCGGGCTCAAAAGATCCTCCCATTTCAGATTCTCAAGTAGCTGGGACTACAGGTGCGTACCACCATGCCTAGCTAATTTTTGTCGTTTCTGTAGAGACAGGTTTTCGCCATGTTGTCCAGGCTGTCTCAAACTCATGGGCTCAAGCAATCCTCCCATCTTGGCATCTGAAAATGCCGGGATTACAGGCATCAGCCACCTCGCCCAGCCACTAGCTTCTTTCTTTAAACAGCTGATACTAATCACTTATCACCTCTACCATCTGACTTCCCTAACCCAGTGTCTCTTTACACTTCCAAAGCACTTCGGAAATACTTTTCAAAAAGCATGCACTAGACTGCAGTCTGTCGTGTGTGGACAGGGTTGTCTGCAAGTTCCCCAAGGGTAGAGACTGTGCCCATCCCAGGCCCCAGCACAGAAGAGGCCCTCACATTGACTTTATCAGCAGCTGATCAGTCTCCACAAGCAGATCACTGCACATCTACCCACGAGTATGTGTGATTGTCTGTCTAATGCCAATCTTGCCCACTCACTTGTGACCACAAAGACAGAAGCCATCTATGTTGTTTCTTGCTCTGACCCCACCTCCTAGCCCAGTGTCCAGCACTCAGGAGGGTGTGTGTAAGTATTTGTCAAATAAATGAAGATCAGATGCTCAAAGACCCAGCAGGATATAATTTTATAAAGAAAGTTCTGTGCTTGCCTCAATAACGCATATTTGGGGCTCTTCCTTATTACCATCCACCGGCACCTTGGCTTGGTTCATAACCCACTCCTGGACAGCATCAGTAATGTGAGGGACAACTGTAGAAAGAAGTATTAATACAAAAGTTTATTCCATGTTCATGAGAAAAGAATGTGCTTTAGGCCTCCCCAGTCACCTGAAAGTCACCTGGAAAGTTACCCTGACATTTTTGGAAAATGAAAAGAGAAAAATGCAACAAGTTTAAAAGAATTAGAACTTGTAGAGCGCAGGGACTGTGACATTTTCAGTTCTACGTGGGTTTTTGTTTTTGTTTTTTGAGACGGAGCCTCACTCTGTCGCCCAGGCTGGAGTGCAGTGGCACGATATCGGCTCACTGCAACCTCTGCCTCCTGGGTTTGAGTGATTCTCCTGCCTCAGCCTCCCAAATAGCTGGGATTACAGGCATTCGCCACCATGCCCAGCTAATTTTTTATTTTTAGTAGAGATGGGGTTTCACCATGTTGGCCAGGCTGGTCTCGAACTCCTGACCTCAGGTGATCCACTGGCCTCGGACTCCCAAAGTGCTAGAATTACAGGCGTGAGCCACCATGCCTGGCCTTCAGTTCTACTTTTGAGCAGCACAAAGATATTCAGCACACAGGGCTCCATAATGTCTGTGGAACATAATACCTTGCACTGTTTTCCCCAGGTAATCGCCACGCCTCTCTTTGTTGATCACGTGCTGATATATCTTCCCCGTGGTGATATTGTTGTCTTTATAAAGATTAATATCCAAAAATCTTTCATAATTTCCAAGGTCTAAATCAACTTCTCCACCATCATTTAAGACGAAGACTTCACCTAGGATTAAAAAGGCAATGGAAAAATCAAAATTTTGCTTCCAGTAAATTTTTCAAAGATAGACATATTTTTGTTAAAAAGCTGGTAAAAGATGTATTTCTAAGCCATATTCTATCACCATCTCCTTTTTGGTGGAGAAAATAATTCAATTCTATCCAAGAAAATGCATCAGAAAATTCTATTTATAGTATTCCATTGTGGTTTTTGTTTTTTATCTACTGAAATTCTGTCTTCAGGATTTAGCTTTTCCAAACTCAACATATGCCACACAAAAAAAGGACTTGAAAACAGCAATTTTAAAAACAAACAGTATTTTACTTCAAAGCATCAGTATCCTGGACTCTGGAATTGCGAAAAGAAACTTTTACTTGATTCTCATCTTGGTTGAAGCCACAATTAGACAGTAGGTGACAAAGCAAGGCCACAGCTAACCCATAAGGCAACTTGGTGAAAGTGAGGGAAAAAGCCTGTGTGTGCCATAAGCTACGTGCACAATGCACTGTCATAAAAGACAGGTGCCGACTTCATCGCACGAGAAGCACCCACTTTACTAGACACGTCTGTAGATCTCTACTGTCACTTCAGGGCATTGACTGAGAGTTGTATATTTCTAAAGCCACCTTGTGGGAATTAAACCTTTCCTCTATTAAGGGAACTATCATTTATTCCTACTGCTAGAAGTCCACAGGAAAAAAGAAGGTTGACTAACTTACAAACTTAATCAGAAACCTTGTATCTCCTCATTTACTTATCCATTCTAAGGTACATAACTGTGGTCTAGAAAATTAATTTTAAGGAAAAAAGCAAACTGATATCACAATACTTTTTTTTCTTCTTTTTTTTTTTTTTTTTTTTTTTGAGACAGAGTCTCACTGTCAACTGGGCTGGAGCACGGTGGCGCCATCTCAGCTCACTGCAACCTCTGCCTCCTGGATCCAACCAATTCTCATGTCTCAGCTTCCCAAGTAGCTGGGATTACAGACATATACCATCATGCCTGGCTAATCTTTATATTACTATTATTATTACTATTATTATTAGTTTGAGATGGAGTCTCGCTCTGTCGCCCAGGCTGGAGTGCAGTGGCATGATCTCGGCTCACTGCAACCTCCGCCTCCCAGGTTCAAGTGATTCTCCTGCCTCAGCCTCCTGAGTAGCTGGGATTACAGGTGCACACCACCACACCCAGCTAATTTTTTTGTATTTTTAGTAGAGACAGGGTTTTACCACGTTGGCCAGGATGGTCTTCATCTCCTGACCTCGTGATCTACCTGCCACGGCCTCCCAAAGTGCTGGGATTACAGGCGTGAACCACCGCGCCCAGCCTATTATTATTTTTTTTTTAATAGAGACAGAGTTTCACCATGTTTGCCAGGCTGGGTAGGAGAATCACTTGAACCTGGGAGGCGGAGGTTGCAGTGAACCGAGGTCACACACTGCACTCCAACCTGCGTGACAGAGTGAGACTGTCTCAAAAAAAAAAAAAAAATTCATAAAAAGAATCCAAAGAAAATTTAGTGTAACACATGGCATTAGTCAATGGTGCCGCACAACAACCCCAAAATCTCTGCAACTTACAAAACATTTATTTATTTCTCCCTCATGTTACACAGGGGCTGTGAGTCACTTGTGAGTCACTTGTTTCTTCTCATTCCAGGACCAAGGCTGAACGAGATATCTCTGAAAAGCAAGCTGTTCTCATGGTGGAGGGCAGAACCACAAAACAGACTGAGCCAAACCACGCAGATGCATTTGACATTTCTGCTTCAACAAGGCATATGTTAATATTCCCTAACATCCCATAGGACAAAACAAATCACATGGCCAAACAGAGTGACCAACCGGCTTGGTTTACCCAGGACTAAGCGGGTTCCCAGGACACGGGACTTTCTGTTTTAAAATCAGGAACATTCCAAACAAACCAAGACAAGTTAACTATCCTACGTGGCCAAACTCCAAGGTCAAAGGGCAGGGAAATGTATTCCACAGAGGGATGGTGGGTGATATTTTGAAGCAAAAATACAATCTACCACAGACTTGAATAAGTCATTCACAAACAAAATCAAAATCAAAGAAATCTAAACTAAAACAATAAGATACCCTCTTTTTGTTTGTTTTATTCTCTGGTTAGTGAAGTTTAAAACAAAATATTCAAGGCCGGGCGCAGTGGCTCATGCCTGTAATCCCACCACTTTGGGAGGCCGAGGTAGGAGGATTGCTTGAGCCCAGGAGGTCGAGACCAGCCTGAGTAACATGGCAAAATCCAGCTCTATAAAAAAAAAAATACAAAAATTAGCCAGACGTGGTGGTGCGTACCCGTAATCCCAGCTACCCAGGGGACTGAAGCAGGAAGATCACTTGAGCCCAGGAGGGGGAGGTTGCATTGAGCCGAGATCTTGGCCACTGCACTCCAGCCTGGGCGATAGAGTGAGACCCTGTCTCAAAAAACAAAAACAAGAAGACAGAATAGCAAGGGACACAAACATTTCTGTTTCTTGATCAGGGGCTGGTTACACAGTGTGTTCATTTAATGAAAATTCATCCAACTGTACACTTACGATTTATGCTCTTTTTTGCTTGCATATAAAAAGGGTTTTTTTGGTTGTTTTTTGTTGTTGTTTTGTTTTTTGTTTTGTTTTGTTTTGTTTTTTTGAGACAGAGTCTCGCTCCGTCGCCCAGGCTGGAATGCAATGGCTTGATCTTGGCTTACTGCAACCTCCGCCTGCCAGGTTCAAGTGATTCTCCTGCCTCAACCTCCTGAGTAGCTGACACAGAACATGACCACACCTGAGCTAATTTTGTTTGTGCTTGGAGTACGGAGTCTCGCCTGTCGCCGAGCGTGGGAGTGCAGTGGCCAGAGCTCAGCTCAGCAAGTCCCGCCTCACCGGCGTTTACGCCTTTCTCCGTTGCCTCAGCCCTCCCGGATAGCTGGGATACAGGCGCCCGACCCTCTCCCGGCTAGTTTTTGTAGTTTTTGTGTAAGTGAGATGACGGGTTTCACGCGTGTTAGCCAGTCTCGATCTGCCTGAGCACGGTCTGATCCGCCCTCGGTCTTCCGGCCCTCCAAAGTCGCTGGATAAGGGCTTTGAGCCACCGCGCCCCGGTCCCACCCAGCTAATTTTTTATATTTTAGTAGAGAGCGAGGTTTCACCGTATTAGCCAGGATGGTCTCGATCTCCTGACCTCGTGATCTGCCTGCCTCGGCCTCCCAAAGTGTTGGGATTACAGGCATAAACCACCACGCCCGGCCTCATAAAAACTTTTTTTAAAATAGCATGTAAGGGCTAAAGCCATTTTAAAAATAAATAGAATACACTCATACATCAAAATGTCACCATTAATAATAGTTACTCCAGGCAATGGGAAATGTTAAGAGAAACATACTACCTTTATGATAAAAATAAAACAGAATCCATAGTACAAAAAGTACAATGTTTCCACAAGGGTTGATTAATTTGGAATGTCATCAGAGGTATGAACAATGTGTCAATGACCATGAGAAAATTCACGTATTCATAGCATGCAATCTAGTCACTCTAAATCTGGAACTACATCCTAAAGAAATTACCCAAAGCGGAAGAAAAAAATGCAGTTGAGCCTAGCGCTATAAGGGGGAAGTGGTTCTCTTTCGTACCGTGTTCATAAGGTGAAAAAGTGCCAGCATCGATGTTAATATAGGGGTCGATTTTGATGGCAGTAACTCGGAGTCCACATGATTTTAGAATCGTCCCAATGCTGCTGGCAATGATCCCTTTACCGATGCCTGAGATGACCCCACCCGTGACCAGGATGTACTTCATTGGCAGAATAGTGGCTGGGTGCCAACACCCAGATATAATCTGAAAGGCAATAAAATTATGGATAAGGAAAGAGAAATATTTGAAACTAGTAAAGCAGACAGTGCATTCAACCAGAATTTTTTTTTCTTTTTTTTTTTTTTTTTTAAGACAGTCTCACTCTGTCACCCAGGCTGGAGAGCAGTGGTGCAATCATGGCTCACTGTAATCTCTGCTCGCTGGGTTCAAGCGATCCTCCCACCTCAGCATCCTAGTAACTGAGACTGTAGGTGAGCACCACCACACCCTGCTAATTTTTGTGGTTTTTTTGTAGAGACAGAGTTTCACCATGTTGCCCACGCTAGTCTCCAACTCCTGAGCTCAACCGATCTACCTGCCTCAGCCTCCCAAAGTGCTGGGATAACAGGCATGAGCCACCGCCCCTAGCTCAGAATTTTTTTTTTTTTAAGAGACAGTGTCTCACTAGGTCACCCAGGCTGGAGTGCAGTGGCATGTTCATAGCTCACTGCAACCTTGAACTTCAGGGCTCAAGCAATCCTCTTGCCTCAGGCTCTGGAGTAGCTGGGACTACAGGCACGTGCCAACTCTCTCAGCTAATTCTTAAAACATTTTTGTAAAGACAGGTTCTTACTATGATGCCCTGGCTGGTCTCAGACTCCTGGGCTCAAGCAGTCCTCTTGTCTTGGCCTCCCAAGATGCTGTGATTACAAAAGTGAGCCACCATGCTTCATCTCACCAAAATTTCAAAAGCACACAGCAGTTTTCTATCTAAACTAAATACTTGAACCTTTTTTGAAACAGAGTCTTATCTTCTAGGCTTTTTATTATTGTCACTATACAGAAAGCTGTGGATACCTTCTGCAAGCAAAGTACCTAGGTCTGTTGCCCTGGGTTTCCAAAGACCTCAACTCTATCATGCAACAAACTTCATCATGATAAACCAAATTTCTCTAGGATTCACAGGCATGCTAAAATGTTTAAGAGCTCAGACTCCAGTGTCAGACTGATCTGTACAAACTGTACCTGGGCAAGTTCTTTTTTTTTCCTTTTTTCTTTTTTTTTTAGACAGGGTCTCACTCAGTTGCCCAGGCTGGAATGTAGTGACACAATCTCGGCTCACTGCAACCTCCACCTCCCCGGTCCAAATGATTCTCATGCCTCAGCCTCCCAAATAGCTAGGATTATAGGCATGCACCATCATGCTGGGCTAATTTTTGTATTTTTAGTAGAGATGGGATTTCACCATGTTGGCCAGGCTGGTCTCAAACTCCTGGTCTCAAGTGACCACCCACCTCGGCCTCCCAAAGTGCTGGGATCACAGGCGTGAGCCACCACGCCCGGCCTTGGGCAAGTTCTTTATCCTTTCTGTGCCTATTCCTTCATCTGTAAAGTGGGGAAAAAATAGCAATCTCTAGGAATACAATTTGGTGTTAAAAAGAAATGGGCTACCAAGCCTTGAAAAAACATGGAGGAATCTCAAGTGCATATTACCAAGTGAAAGAAGCCAATCTGAAAAAGCTACATACTGTATGACTTCAACTATATGACACTTTGGAAAAGGCAAAACTAGAGACAGTGAAAAGATCAGTGGTTGTCAGCGGGTAGGAGGGAGAGAGGGATGAATAGGCAGAATACAAGGGAATTTTAGGGCAGTGAAACTATTCTGTATAGTACTGTAATGACGGATCCATGTCATTATACATTTATCCAAACCCACAGAACGGACAACAGGAAGAGTGAACCCTGATGTAAATAAACTACGGACTTTCTGCTGGACGCGGTGGCTCACGCCTGTAATCCCAGCACTTTGGGAGGCCGAGGCGGGCGCATCACCTGAGGTCAGGAGGTCAAGACCAGCCTGGCCAACATAGAGAAACCCCGTCTCTACTAAAAATACAAAATTAGCCAGGCGTGGTGGCGCATGCCTGTAATCCCAGCTACTCGAGGGGGCTGAGGCAGGAAAATCGCTTGAACTCGGGAGGTGGAGGTTGCGGTGAGCCGAGATCATGCCATTGCACTTCAGCCTCATGCCATTGCACTTCATCCCGCACTTGCAGAGTGGTACATTTATTATAATCAGTGAACCTACATTGACGCATCATTTTTGCCTAAGATTCATAGGTTTTCATTTTGTTTTGTTTTTTTGAGATGGAGTTTCGCTCTTATTGCCCAGGCTGGAGTGCAGTGGCGCAATCTCGGCTCACTGCAACCTCCGCCTCCCAGGTTCAAGCGATTCTCCTGCCTCAGCCTCTCAAGTAGCTGGGTTTACAGGTGTGTACCACAATACCCGGCTAATTTTTGTATTTTTAGTAGAGACAGGATTTCACCATGTTGGCCAGGCTGGTCTCAAACTCCCGACCTCAGGTGATCTGCCCGCCTAGGCCTTCCGAAGTGCTGGGATTACAGGTGTGAGCCACCGTGCCTGAGCCACCCGGGCTGATTTGTTCAATTTTGATAAGTGCCTGTCCAGGAGAATCAGACAGCCTGGGTTCAAATCCTGACTCTTGTCCCTTACAGCTGTGATCCTTGGCAAATTCTTCAACATTTCAAAACCTCAATTTTTACAAACCATACAGTATTTATGGATGATGATAGTACCTACCTTAGAGAGTTAGCAGGGATTTACAAAGACAGTGCCTAAATGCTAAATTAAGCTTAGCTGTTACCATTTTCAGTGCCACCTACATAATGATTCAGTCAATGAGCTCACAAATGTTTATTGATTAACTGGGTGTCGTGGTGCACACCTTTAATCCCAGCTGCCTGGGAGACTGAGGTGGAAGGAATGCTTCAGCCTGGGAGTTCAAGCCCACTGTGGGCAACATAGCGAGGCCTCATATCTGTTTAAAATATATATACACGGCTAGGCGCGGTGGCTCACGCCTGTAATCCCAGCACTTTGGAAGGCCGAGGTGGGTGGATCACTGAGGTCAGGAGTTCGAGACCAGCCTGACCAACATGGTGAAACTCCATCTCTACTAAAAATACAAAAAGTAGCTCGGCGTGGTCGTGGGCACCTGTAATCTCAGCTACTAGGGAGGCTGAGGCAGGAGAATCGCTTGAAACTGGAAGCAGGAGGTTGCAGTGAGCCAAGATCACACCACTGCACTCCAGCCTGGGCAACAGAGTGAGACTCCATCTCAAATAAATAAAAAAAAAATTATATATATATACATATATTACATATATAATGTTTATTTGAACATCTATTACATGCTTGACATATTTCCAAGTCCTAGGGATATGGAGATAAAAAGACAAGGTCTATGTCCCACTGGACTTCACCTTTCCTGCAGGATTAAGGGGCAAATGAACTGTGCTTTAATTATACCTTATTCTGGCACCGTCATACTGTTCAAATGACTCTCTTTGTAAAAGTTACCAAAATGGAAAAATGCTGTAGAGGTATGGTGAAGAAAACTGGCATACATTCGTGCGAAGTCACATTATGCCTAATAATTTTTTATATAAGAAAATGCTTCTTTGGGAGGCTGAGGCGGGCAGTTCAAGACCAGCCTGGCCAACATGGTGAAACCCTGTCTCTACCAAAAATACAAAAATTAGCCAGGCATGGTGGCAGGTGCCTGTAATCCCAGCTACTCGGGAGGCTGAGGCAGGAGAATCACTTGAACCCCGGAGGCAGAGGTTGCAGTGAGCCGAGATGGCACCATTGCACTCCAGTCTGGGGAACAAGAGCAAGACTTCATCTCAAAAAAAAGAGAGTAAAGAAAAAAGAAAATGCTTATGTGGCCAGGCACAGTGGCTCACGCCTGTAATCCCAGCACTTTGGGAGGCCGAGACGGGCGGATTGCCTGAGCTCAAGAGTTCAAGACCAGCTTGGGCAACATGGGGAAACCCCATCTCTACTAAAATACAAAAGATCAGCCGGGTGTGGTGCCGTGCACCTGTAATCCCAGCTACTCAGGAGGCTGAGGCACAAGAATTGCTTGAACCTGGGAGGTGGAGGTTGTGCCAATGCCCTCCAACCTGGGCAACAAAGCAAAACTCTGTCTCAAAAAAAAAGGAAGAAAGAAAGAAAATGCTTACGTTACCTGAAAAAAGAGAGAGCAGACTATAACATTGAATATATTATTCACTATGTTTTTTTAAATTAAGATCTAAATGTTAATAGTCACCATTAAGATTTCCGTCTTATGGCCAGGTGCAATGGCTCATGCCTGTAATCCCAACATTTTGGGAGGTCAAGGCGGGTGGATCACGAGGTCAAGAGATCAAGACCATCCTGGCCAACATGGTAAAATCTTGTCTCTACTAAAAATACAAAAATTAGCCAGGCGTGGTGGCGCCTGCCTGTAGTCCCAGGTACTTGGGAGGCTGAGGCAGGAGAATCACTTGAACCCAGGAGGTGGAGGTTGCAGTGAGCCAAGATTGCGACACTGCACTCCACCCCGGCAACAGAGTGAGACTCTGTCTAAAAAAAAAAAAAAAAAAAATTCCATCTTTATTTGGTCAAAGATACACCATGTTATGTCTTAATATATTTAGGTGATTAGGTTGTCTGTGTTGGGGCTCAAGAAAACAAAACCCCAAAATGAAGGCCTCAGAAGCAAAGTTTCTCTCTGACCTTCTCCTGCCCTCCTGCCTGTCACCCCTCATACTCCCCCAAGGCAAGTCATAGAAACTAGAACCTCTTTCCCTGCAAAGCCAGCTAGAAAGTCAAAAAATATGACTCTAACCTTCCTCTCAACCACCTTTCTATACAACAGCTGGCCATAAAGAAATTAAGACCCTCATTCCAAAGAGGGTCTACCCCATACCGGGGAGGAAGAAAAGCTACAACAGACAGGCCAAGAAGAATGTGGACAGGCCTTGCTGGGTTTCCCCACTCCGTCTATTTCCATCAGCTCATCCGTCCCTGCTTCATGGACTCCAAGCATAAAATCAGATCATTTCCCTTGCATCTTTAAGGGGTTTTCATTTCTGAAGGCTTCCATGTCACATAAACCTACGATTCAACAAATTGTTATGCTTCTCTCTTGTTAATCTGTCTCTTGTCTAAGGCTGTCAGCCGTGACCCTTATGATATCAGCTCTTTCCTCCCCTACATAAGCAATTACTCATTTTCTGTTTTGTAAAAAACACAAGATACCTTTTTAAAACACATTGGATATTTTAGAGACCTTTTGTAAGAATGCAACTTAATACCAAGGAGACACCTAATTCTTTCTATTTTGTTGTTGTTGTTGTTGTTTTGAGATGGAGTTGTGTTCAGTCACCAGGTTGGAGTGCAATGGCACAATCTGGGCTCACTGCAACCTCTGCCTCCTGGGTTCAAGCAATTCTCCTGCCTCAGCCTCCCGAGTAGCTGGGACTACAGGTGTGTGCCACCATTCCCAGCTAATTTTTGTATTTTTAGTAGAGACGGGGTTTCACCGTGTTGTCCAGGATGGTCTCGATCTCGACCTCATGATCCTCCTGCCTCGGCCTCCCAAAGTGCTGGGATTACAGGCGTGAGCCACCATGCCCGGCCCTTTACCTCTTTTAAGCAAACAAGTAACTTTAACAAAGTTTCAAAGGTGCAGGGAAAGGCTGGCCCTGTTTTAGATCACTTTCTCCATTGGGGATGGTTTCTGGTGTCAAGACAAGCTTTTCATTTACTCTTACATGCAGTGAGCAGAACCAAGTGTTTACAGAATAGCACCGTGTAGAGCTGTGCTGTCTCCACTATATAATAAAAAATATTACACAGCCAGGTATGTAATTTTAAGTTTCTAGTAGCCATATTAAAAAAGTAAAAAGAATCAAATGAAGTCCATGTTAATATATGTTATTTAACCCAATGTAGCCAAAAATGTTATAACTTTTAACACACAATGTAAGAATTTATTAGTGAAATATTTTACACCCTTTTTGTGTACTGAACTTTCAGAAATCAGGTGCCTATACTTAGAGCACATCTCAGTACGGATTTTGCCACATTTCCAGTATTCAATAACCACATGTGACCAGTGGCTCCCACATTAGACCAGGCAGGCCTAGAGCAAATAAAAGCACCAGGAGCACCCAGAGACACCTTCTCAGTGATGGCCATTTAAAAAGTAATGTTAGACACAAAAGAGTACTTACCTGATGATCTTGTTCTATGAAGTTCTAGAACAGGCAAAGCTAAACTATGATAACAATCAGAACCAGGGTAGAATGAGGGGCCTGGGGCGGATTGACAGGAAGGAGGTACCAGGGAACTTTGCAGGGTGAAGGAAATGGTCAATGTCCACTTGGGATAACGGTTACAGGAGTGTATAATTTGTCAAATCCCGTCGATTTGCACACTGAAAATGGGGCATTTTATTGAATATAAACTATACATACAATTTTTTTTTATGTTGCCCCCAAAAAGCTATTTTGTAGCAGCAGCGTAGTTCGGCACTACGAGCCCTAACCATCTAGTACGGGGAAAACGCGGGGGTGGTTGTTTAAGGGGTGCACTGCGACGGGAGAGAGGACAGAAAGGCCATGTTACCGGCGCTGATCACCAGCCTCGCCGACCCCCGCTTGGGGCTTCACTTCCGCCAACGCCATCTCAGGGCTCTCCGGGTTCCCGAGGGCCGGGAGAAGTGGGGATCCGGGTGCGGGCGCTGGCGCGGGCGGGGGCGGGAAGAAGCGCGTCCCGGGGACGCGCGGGACAGGCTCCGACCGCACTGGGCACGGGCCAGCGTTCCCCAGTCCCCGCGCCACACCCGGCAGCCGAGGTCTGCGAGCGCGGGGTGCGGGACGCGCGGGGCTGGCGGCCGGACTCTGGACTCAGCGCTGGGGAGGGAGCCGGCGCCATCAGAGAGGGGACAAAGGAGCCCAGCCTCACAAGTGCACCGAGGCTTGGGGGTGCAGGGCAGAGAGGCCCTGGGGACGTGGGATGGCCCGGGCGCCAAGGCCCTGGGGGTCTGGGACAGGCCCAGGAGGGAAGTTACCTGCGCGGTGGTGGTAGCGCCGGGTAGGGTGGCTGGTGGGCACGGCGGGCTCCACCCCGCAGCTGGCCTGGCGCTCACCTGTCGGGCTGGGGAAGGGGTCGCTGCCGGGGCTGTCCAAAGCCGCCCCCAGGATCTTGCCACCGCCCACCCGGGCCTTGGGGTGCGCGGCGTCCTCCTCGCCCACCCTCCCCTCTCCCTGCTGCTGGCCCAGCTGACTCACGCTGGTGAGCTTGGGGTTTGCACCCGGGTTTCTGCAATGGTCCAAAACAAGCGCCTAAAAAGTGATTCCTCCAGCACAGGCAGCTCCCGTCACCCTCCTCTCTGGACGCACTGGGCCCCAGGCCTCGCCCAGCTCGGGGACCGCTCCTCCCTCCCGTGGCTCACTTCGCAAAGGCACTTCGAGTGCGCGGGTGAACTCCACAATTCCCGGAGAGCCCCGGCCTCCTGGCAAGCCGAGACCCTCGCTCGAGTCCTCCCGTCCAGATCTCACCCTTGTAAAGAACTTCACTGGTCACAAACGTTTGTGCATCCCCTACTACGCCCCAGGAACTGCAGGAGCGCTCAGGAGAGAAGGAAAAGAAAAAAGAATGCCTGCCTTTGAGGAACTAGCTCACTGTCTGGAGGGAGGTCCACCCGTCTGTTGGAACCAGTAAGGTTCCCTAGAACAATATTTCTGCAGCAAAGAGCTGCGGGGGTGCAGGGAGGGGGGAAGGCAATTAAGGCTTGGAAGGGTGACTTTTTTTTTTTTTTCTTTGAGACGGAGTTTCGCCCTTTTTGCCCAGGCTGGAGTGCAATGGCGCGATCTCGGCTCACTGCAACCTCCACCTCCCGGATTCAAGCGATTCTCCCTGCCTCAGCCTCCGGAGTAGCTGGGATTACAGGCGAGCGCCACCACGCTTGGCTAAATTTGCATTTTTAGTAGAAACGGGGTTACATCACGTTGGCCAGACTGGTCTCGAACTCCCGACCTCAGGTGATCCGCCGGCCTTGGCCTCCCAAAGTGCTGGGATTACAGGCTTGAGCCACTGCACCCGGCCCAAATACTCTAAAAAGTCACTCTTCGGGTGACTCGCGCCTGTAATCCCAGCACTTTGGGAGGCCGAGGTGGGCAGATTACCTGAGGTCGGGAGTTCAAGACCAGGCCTGGCCAACGTGGTATAACCCTGTCTCTACTAAAAATGCAAAATTAGCCGGGCGTTGTGGCACCTGCCTGTAATCCCACCTACTCGGAAGGCTGAGGCAGAGAGAATCGCAGAATCGCTTGAACCCGGGAGGCAGAGGTTGCAGTGAGCCGCAATCGGGCCACTGCACTCCAGCCTGGGCGACAGAGGAGACTTTGTCTCAAAAAAAAAAAAAAAAAAAAAAGTACTGGAGGATGATTGGTGCTGGGAACGGATACAGGAGGTTTTTCGGGTGAAGGCAAGAAGCAAACCACTGAAGGAAGCTAACATGGACAATAGAAGGGTCTGAAGTGAGATGGAAGATTTTAGGAAAGTGGTGGAAATGTTGCATAACCAGTGTGAGATGCTAGAGCGACAAGTTAGTCAAGAGTCACTGAAAACCTAGTGGAGTTTAGAAACCATCATTGTGTAGTGGTGTCCAGCTATAATCCGGCAAGGTATCTACAGAAATATAGCTTAGTTATAAAACCCAAGTTTCCTGCTTGCATAGAGTAGAAGGACAAGAGGGTGAGGAGGTGGAGGACACAGAAAGACTGTGATTGCAGTGACGGGCCAGAGTTCTAGTCCTAGAGGACAGGAACTATTAATAAAACCAGTGGGGAGCTGATAGACTGGGAGACAGATGAGAGAAGGGCTCCAAGGCCAGGGCCTCTGAGGAGAGGACTGGCAAACTGGCCCCAGAGTGTGGTGCTGGAGTTCAGGCCTTCAAATGGATATTCCAGGAAATGAGACACTTTGGGGTGTAGCAGCTACAATGGAATAGAAAAGTGAGATGGGCATCACTGGCCTTGGGTTTAGTGCCCACAAGGCTGGCGTGTTGGACATCGAGGGTCCCAAAAGGATGGCAGGAGGTGGAGGAGTCAATCGAGGTCAAGGAACTTTAGAGAATTGGGGTTGCAGGGTGGGTAGTGAGTCTGAAACTAATAGATGACTGACAAGGAAAGGGAGAAGGTTGCAGAATAAATGTCCAGTGCCTTTCAAGACACAATGGAGGCCTGGTGCCGTGGCACACCCCTGTAATCCCAGCACTTTGAGAGGCCGAGGCAGGCAGATAGTTTGAGTCCAGGAGTTGGTGACTTGCCTGGACAACATGGCAAAATCCCGTCTCTACAAAACAAAAATTATCAGTTGTGCTGGCTGCGTCCAGGGGAAGGCTTGAAGCGAGAAGATCGGCCTGGAGCCGCAAGGGGTCAAGGCTGGCAGAGTGTGCTATGATCGTGCCACTGCAACCTCCCAGCCTGGGAAACGACAGAGTGAGAGCCTTGTCTCAAAAAACAAAAAAAATATCAATTATTAAAAAAATGGAAACACTGGCAGGCATGGGTGGCTCAACGCCTGTAATCCCAGCACTTTAGGAGGCCAAGGCGGTGGTCGACGTCAGGAGATTGAGACCATCCTGGCTAACACGGTGAAACCCTGTCTCTACTAAAAATACAAAAAATTAGCCGGGCATGGTGGCATGTGCCTGTAGTCCCAGCTACTGGGAGGCTAAAGCAGGAGAATCTCTTGAACCCGGGAGGCGGAGATTGCAGTGAGCCAAGATCGTGCCACTGCACTCCAGCCTGGGCGACAAGAGCGAAACTCCATCTCAAAAAAAATAAACACAATGGAGTTTCTCCCCACCGAGGACGAAAGAACAGTATTGTGGAGGAAGCAGTAAGAAGCTTGGAACAATGATGTCAATTTCTGGGAAAATAAGCAGAGGCTTCACTCAGCAGGGTATCCTTGGGAGAGATCCAGGTCTCCATGGGTATTGGGGGGGTCCAGGGGAGGGACAAGGAACCACCTTGTCAAAAGGCTAGAGGAATAAACAAGTCTTCCAGAAGGCTCAGGGGAAAGAACATTTGTGAAATGGGTTGGTGTGGGTGCTAATACTTAATACCTGCCACATATGTAAGGTTTCCTTCCACAGTTTCATCTTTCATTATCTGTTTACAACCAGGACAGTTGTTATGATCCCCTTTTTAGAATGAGGGACCTGAGGTTCAGAGATGTGAAATGTCTTGACCAAGGGTACATTAGTTAATATGAGTGGCAAAGCCAGGACATCAATGCACAGCCAGACTCCACCACAAGATGTAAGGCCTGATCTAATCGTCCTATTCATTTATGAGGCTAATGGATAAAGATAGTCTGTATATACAAAGGGCTCAGTATAATAACTATTGTATTTTTAATCTCAAATGGGAAAAATAACGAGCTGGAAAACAAATTTGATAACAGGGTGCAGATTGACTGAATTGTGTGGGATAAGGGTGTATCCTCATTCAACAAGTGTCAGTTCATGGCCCACCACCAGCATAACATTTTGCTAAATCCGCACAAGATGACTTTTTTTTTTCTTAAGATGGGGTTTCATTCTTGTTGCCCAGGCTGGAGTGCAATGGCACGATCTCGGCTCACTGCAACCTCCACCTCCCGGGTTCAAGTGATTCTCTTGCCTCAGCCTCCTGAGTAGCTGGGATTACAGGTGCCCACCACCACGCCCGGCTAATTTTTGTATTTTTAGTAGAGATAGGGTTTTACCATGTTGGCCAGGCTGGTCTTGAACTCCTGACCTCAGGTGATCAACCCGCCTCAGCCTCCCAAAGTTCTGGTATTATGGGCATGAGCCACCGTGCCTGGCCAGATGATTTTTTTTAAATGAAAATGAAGCCCATCATTAATTTGATTGCTTATGTTCTCCTTTTGTAATCTTTTTTTTTTTTTTCTATTTTTTGAGTCAGGGTCTCACTCTATCAACCAGGTTGGAGTACAGTGGCATGATCACAGTTCACTGCAGCCTCCAGCTCCCAGGCTCAAGCAATCCCCCTGCCTCAGCTTCCCAAGTAGCTGAGACGACAGGTGCAAATCACTACACCCAGCTCATTTTTTATTTTTTGTATAGACAGGGTCTCGTTATGTTGCCCAGGCTGGTCTCAAACTCCTAGACTCAAGCAATCCTCCCACCTTGGCCTCACAAAGTGCTGGGATTATAGGCATGAGCCATTGTGTCCAGCCTAATCTCTTATTTTTAAGAATTCTACCTTTCAGAACAGTTGTAAAACTGTCTATCCCTTGGTGACCACAGTGTTCACCACGATTTTAAGTGTACCTTAAGATAAAGCAGAGTAAGGCTGAAAGGACTGGGCCCCACCTCTGCTATGGGAAGGACCATACTTCTTTTGCAAGTGAGGAAACTTGAAGGGCAAAAAGACAAGTAAAACATCAAGTTTAGGCCGGTCACGGTGGCTCACTCCTGTAATCCCAGCACTTTGGGAGGCCGAGGTGGGTGGATCACCTGAGATCAGGAGTTCGAGACCAGCCTGGCCAACATGGTGAAACCACCCCGTCCTCTACTAAAACACACATCTGCCAGGTTGATGCAGGCGCTTGTAATTCCAGCTATTTGGGAGGCTGAGTGCATGAGAAATCGCGCTTGAACCAGGAAGGCAGAGGATACAGTCGAGCCGAGATGTCCACTGCCACTTTTAAGCTGGCCAGAGACAGAGCAAGATTCACGTCCAAAAAAAAAAAAAAAAAAAATAGTCAAGTTTATTCACCACTACTAGATATGAGAATTAACGAAGCCCATCCATAGGCTTCTCACTCAAATTCCAGGCTCTGTA